ATTTTTTTTTTTTATCATTTTTTTTATTTTTTTGTTTTTATCATTAATTTTTATATGTTTAATAATTCTTTTTTGAATATATATATTAATTTTTTGTTTTACTAAATATTATAATTTATCATTTTTTATTTTATATTTTTTATATTTATATGATATTATATTATTATTAATTTTGTGAATGTTTTATTTATATTAATTTATTTAGCTTCTTATTTTTTTTTTTAATTCAATTAAATAAATTATATATATATTTTTTTTTTTCAATTTTTTTTTTTTCTTAAAATTTTTTATTTATATGTTTATATAAATATCAAGATATACATTATTTACTTTTCAAATTAGTAATATATTAAAATTTAAAAAATTTATTTAATAAATATTTTAATTATATTTATTTATTATAATATATTATAAAAAATATATTTAATGTTTATGTAATAATTAATAAAATAAATATTTTTTTAAATTCATAAAAATAATATTATTTTAAATAAAAAATTCATTTTATTTAAATAGATTTTTTTTTTAAATAAATAAAATTAGTAATAAATTATAAATACACAAAAATAATACATATGTCTGAATAACCCGCCATTATAATTAAAAATTTTCCAATGTCATAAAAAGAAGAGAAAATAAAAAGAAAATTATATTCCAATCAAAACAAAAATTAAAATGATATAAATCCCTTATAATAGTAAAATTACTCACAAAATAATTTTCAATAAAATCTAATTCCTCATATTTAATCAAAAAAGCACGAATAGAATTAATATTAATAATAATACATAAATGATTAATATAAATAAATTCCAGATGAAAAATAGATAAATTTTTAAAATAAATGGAAGGTGAGCTTTCTAATTTAAATAAAAGTAAAATGAAAATTATATAAAATAAATAAAATACTGATAAAAAAAAATAGAATAAATTACAATGGGAATGTTAAATACGTAAAATTAATTGTTGAAATAATAAACAGAAGTTGTAAGTGAAAATTAAAATAACTAGCAAATATAATTTAAAAAGTAAATGGAGATGATAAAATAAATAAACAGTAAATAATTAATATATTTGAATATATATATATATATATATATATATATATATATATATATATATATATATATATATAATTTATTTATTATTAAAATTTTTAGTAAATAAGACTTATTAAACTAAAATAAATAATATTTATAAGAAATAATAAAGCCTATAAATGAAAAAATTGAAGAAATAAAAAAAATATATGATTAAGCAAAAAAAACATAAAAATAAATAGAAAATTAAATCGATAATACTTATAATAATAATGGTGTATAAATTTCTTAAAATATAAATGATTTTTAATAAACGAATAATATATTATAAAATAAATTAAAAAATACCCAAGATGAATTGAATTTACTTCTTCCTTAAAATATGAATTCTTTAAATAATTTATAGAACTTTAATATTGATATATATAGCAAAACAATTAATAATTTAAAAAGTTAAATTTAATAATTATAAATCGAAAGTGAAAAAGCAGAATAAGATTTGGAAAATAGGCAAAAAAAATTATTGAATTTGCCTAATTAAGATTAACTCTTAAAACCTTTTGAAGATAGTATTAAATAAAATGTTTTAAAAATTGATTTTTTGGAAATTTAAAATCAAGTAGAGAATAAACTTGGTGGTAAATTTCAATATGAAAATTTTTTAGATTAAATTGATGAAATTTAGAACGATGTAGATAAACTTTGGAATGAATATTAGAATGATATTAAGCCCTTTTAAATTAATGTGCCGAAATTTAATATTTCATAGAAAGAATTGGACGATCTTAATGTTAAATTACCTAGTATTTTAGATGATTTGAAATAAAAATTAGGGATTCCTTTAAATTTAAAACCTAATAATAATATAAATAATAATAAAAAAAGAATCGGATAATAATAAAGACCAAAAACAATACAAGAAATTCAAACTGAACCTTAAAAATGTCAGAAAGATATAAAATTTTAAAAAGAAAAAGAAAAAATTCCATCTATTATTACTTAAGAGAAAGATTTTAATTAGAAAAAATAGATTTTAATTCAAAAAGCCGATCCAGTACCAAAAATGACTAAATAAAATAATTTTTAAGAAAATAATTTGTTAAAAAAAAAATTAGTGAAGAATTTGAATATGAAAAAAATAAAATTTAAATATAAATTTAAGATAAATAACCTTTTTTGTAGTAAAATTAAAAATTTAGTAACTCACTTAGTATTTTTAATTAAAAAAAATATAATAATAATAAGAAGAATAGGATTAAATTTATATTCTTAAATATGAAAATAATAATGATAGTATTTAATAAAATAATCTTATAGATAAAAATATAATTAAAGATATTTTTCTTGAAGTTCTTAATGAAAATAAAGCTCTTTTAGGAAATAATAATGATAAATAAGATTAAAAAATGCAATAAAATTAATAATAATAGAGTAAAAAAAAACATTAATATAAAACAATTATATATATATATATATAAAAAAAAAATCAAATATAGTAAATGAAGAATAGAAAATAGACTAAGAAACATAAAAAAATTAAAATAAATTTTCGGTTTAAATCGAAAATTAATAAACTGAATTTTTATAATAGCAATAACAATTACTTATATAACAGCAAACTGAAAAACTTTAATAAATTTAAATAGAATAATAAAAATTAATTTAAAACTAATCATAAGAGTTAGCTTTTAATTTTATAAATGTAATAAATACCACATTAAATTAAATAAACTAAGCAATTAATAAACCTAAACCGGCGGAAAGTATAAAAAAATATAGATATATAATTTAAAAAAAAAAAATAGAAAAATAATATAGCCCAAGCGAAAAAGAAATAATTGAAAAAGAAAAAAGCTATGAAGATGAAATTTCACCTAAAAATATATAAAAAAGCAGATAATAATAATTTCAATCATTTTCAAACTAAAACTAATTTAATAACACTGGATTTCCTTTTCATCCTTAATAATAATAATAATTCAATTTTCCTCAATATTACTAATAATATCCTCCTATGTATAATATGCCTTAAACTTGGGTTCCTTAAATGCCTTAAGAAATTTAATAATAAAATGATCAAAATGTAAGAATAAATTTAAAAGAATATTACAAAGAGTTTTAACTTACAGAAAGTGAAACTATATATAATTAAAGTAGTCTTAATATAAGTTAATTTGATAATAAAAGTAGTAAATCTCAAATAGACTCTATTTTTAAGGAAAGCTTAAATTAATCCAAAAGTGATGGATAAGTATCTATCCCAAGATCAATTAATAAATAGAATTTTTAAAAGAAAAAAGAAAATAATAAAGATATAAATAAAAATAATAATAATAATAATAATAATAATAATAATAATAATAATAATAATAATAATAATAATTATAATAATAATTATAAATATATTAATGATAATATATGGAAAGATATTTCTGATGAATATAGTGAAGGATAAATTTGATAAAACATAAAAAAATTTTTTACATAATTTTTTTTAGTATAATATATATTTTATTTATAATAATAATATTTTTTTTTCATAAATTATATATTATTTATTATTTTTCGTTTATATCATTTAATAAATGATAATTTATACTGTTTTTATTATATTTAATTTTACCTATATAAAATTATTTTAATTATTATCTTAATTTTTTATTAAATCCGAAGATTATAGCATTTAAAATTCCTTATAAGTTATTTAAAAATAAAGAAGTATAAAATAATTATTATATATCTTTTTTTTGTATTCCAAATTAAATTAATAAAGCATAAATAGTTCCTATTAAATGACAAAATGGTAGAATAAAAGGATAAATACTAATAATTTTAATGCTTTTATCTACAAATTATTTTTTTATTTTGAAAACTATTATAATATTAAAAATTATAATAGTCCATAAGCATAAATAAAATTAAAAGCAATACTCAAATATTTATTCAACTTCAAGTCCTTATTATTGATCTAAATAATTATATATTAAATGCCTATAATAATTTTATATATATATTTTTTTATATTTTAATTTATATTTTTTTTTAAATTTACGTTAAAGATAATATCAAGCAAAACATTGTTGTTCCTAACATCATTTTGTTAATTACTTATCTTATGTAAATATATCCATTTGTTATACTTTTATATATACTAAATATAATCACAGAGGTTATTAATAATGTTTTTAATTAAGAAAAATATATTATAAATATTATTGCTTTATTATTATAATTATTTTAAAATTCTATGTTATTAAGCATTATTTTGCATGAAGATAAAATTAAGTCAAATGCAGATTATATAAAAACCAATTTTTAAGCGGAATTTCGAATGTTTTTAAAATATATAAAGCTTATTATTATTATTAAGTTTAATATTATAGATAATATATTTTCAAATACAAATATTTCTTTAGTATGAATGTTTTACATATTTTTTTTTTATTTTTATTTTTTTTTACTAATTTATTTATTATATTATAAAAGAATTTTTTTATATTCAATAAAATAGAAAATAAATTGGAAATTTATAATATTTTAAAATTTTTTTTTTTTTGAAAAAATGTTAATAAATGCTATTAATATAAAAAAGTATTAATTTTTTTTTTTTAAAAAAAAATATAAATTAAAAATTAAAAATATAGATTTACATAATAATTATTTATTTAATCAATTTTTTTTTTTTAAAAAAAGAAAATCATTTATACGTGTTTCTACATTTTCTATAAGTAAAATAAAAGCTAAATTATGTAATATTTTTATTCATAAATATTTATTAAATATAAAAAAAATATGTAAAAGTTTTTATTAATATCATTAATATTATTGGTTTTCAAAACATAAGCTTTGCATTTTTATTTAAAAGAAGGAAAAGAAAAATGTTTATCAGATGATATACCAGCATAGACTGTAATAATAAAATAAATATAAAAATTAAATATATAAATAATAAAAAAGGCAGTAATTATACATACACATTTATTAGATCGATTACCTGGAGTCGATGAAAATTCTTAAAAAGACGGAATAACTTTAACTGTGACAGGACCTGAAAATATAAAAGTTCTTTAAAAATTAACATTATATGGAAAAAGCAAATTTTCGTTTTCAGCACAAAAAGGTAAAAAAAAAATATATAATTATAAAAAATAAAAATAGATAATTATATAAAATTATATATATAAATAAATTTATATATATATGTATATAATAATAAATATATATATATATATATATTATAGCCAATATATATTAATATAAATATATTTATACACTCATTTATTTTTATATTTTTAGGTGGAAATTATAAATTCTGTGCAAAAACAACTACTAGTCATTGGGTAAAAGAAAACAAATTTATTAGATACGGTATTAAATTAATTGTTGGCGAATAAGAATAAGTAATTTATTTTATACTTTATATTAATTATTCTTATTTAAATAAATAAATATATAGCAAGAACTTAAAAATGCAGCAAAAGAAGAACATATCAATAAGCTATAATAAAAAGTATCATTAGTTTAAGTTAGATCTAAAGAATTTTTAGATTATTAAGCCTTAAATAGTAGATTAGAAGACGATTTAACTACACAAAATGTTGTTGTTAACGATAGAGTTGTTTTATTTACTATTATTGAAACTATTATTATTTTAGGAAGTGGAATATTTTAGATTATATCCTTAAAAAGTTTTTTTTAAAAAAAGAAATTTTATTGATTAAATGAAAAAATAAAAAAAAAATATTTTTTTTTTATTTTTTTAATTTTAAAAAATATTAAAATATTATTTAGTATTCATATATATATATAAATTAAATAAGTATACATTTATTTTAGAATAACACATAATATTCTTATTTTTTAACTTTTTTTTTTTTAAAAAATATATTCAATTATTACTTTTATTTGCATTATTTTCTTCCTCATTATTTTCTGATATTAATTTAGGATTATATTTCGGATAAAAAATCTAAACTTCTTTATCCCATTTAAATCTAAAAGGTACCCACCTAAAATTTTCCGGATAAACAGGAATACCAGCCTGTCCGCATTCTTTATAAACTTTATTTAAATAATTCATATCTGTGCAAATAATAATTTAACCTTAAGCATATTTTACCATATTTTTTTATTCCTTTTTTTTTTTTTTTTATTAAAAAAATAAATAAATAAAAATACTAAAGTCCAAATTATATCTTTTTCTTAAATCCCAGTTTCTTTAGTAATATCTGAAATACTAAAATGATAATCATCAGCTTTTTTCCTCAAAAAATCTATAATAGTCTACGACCACCAACTTAAATAACTCACCTTTCCTAAATCAGAAAGCGGTCTTTCTGGCGTACCTGGTTTACCTTCTATTATTGAAAGCTAATATGAAATACTAATAAGGAACTTCCCATAACCTTTCCTTTAATGACAAGGGAATACTAAAATACACGATAGATTATATCCATGTGGACATTCTTTCCATTTAGAAAAATAGCCGACGATATGTGACCCTTGTTCATCATTTTCTGTCAGAATATAAATTAAGAAAGGGTCTAGGTTATAATACAAGTTTTTATGATCTAAAAAAAGCTTTGATAAATATCCTAGATTTTCTGCATATACACCATTATATTTACCATCTACTTCGAATATAGAAATCGGAACTTTTCGGTTATCGTCTCTATATATTTCATCACCTGGTGGATGTGTGAGTTTACAGTTTTTTGAATGACGGTCTAATTCAGATTACGTTAAATAAAAATTTAAACAAAACTCACATACATATATTGTTTCGACGTTATGATAGCCTTTCGGAAACGGAGAATAATACCATGTTTCACATGAATGCTTGCCTATTTAAATTTTTTCTATTGTCTTTATTTTTGTGGCTAGTAAATGGGCTTAAAGGGAGGCTTCGTCCATTCCTTCATGTTCATCGTTTTCTTCTTTTTCTTGTTTTTATTCTTCGCCTTTACGCTTTTTTTTTATTTAGGCTTCTTGGATTATTTCTGTTGTCTTTTTTTAAGCTTTTTTTTAATATTTTTTATTTTATTTTTTTACTAATTCAATGTTTTCACGGATTTACCATTAATCGTTTCTTCTATTATAACCTTCAAAATGTAAATAATAATCATAGGAATAGTCATTTTTAGTCTTTTTAGGATCATAATCTTCTGGTTTTTATTTTTTTTTAATTTATTATATTTACCTTTGCTGAATCGACATTCGATTATTTTGGCTTTGGCTTTTTAACCGTTTCTCATTTAAGCTAGGACATAATATTAAAAGTCTAATGCACCTTCATATTGATTTATGGGTATTAATTTGTTTTTTTCGGCATTATAGTCAATAAATATTTCTTTTCCTTTTCCTTTTCCTTTACCTTTTCTTTTTGAGGCCATTTTTTATTTATTTTTTATATTATTTTTATTTTTTGAAATTATAAAATAATTATAATATTTTTTTATTTTTCAAATTAATAAATTGAATAGTTTATATTATAATCAATTAATTTTTAAAGAAATATAAGTTTTTAATTCTTTTTTTTGTTTAAAAAAAAAAATTAATCTTATATTATTTATGAAAACTTTATTAGGATAGGAATTTAAGGAAAAAATAATATTAATATATATGTTTATTTAATTTAAAAATAAAGAAAAATATTTTTTATTTGTTAAAATTTTTAATATAATATATTCATTAATTTATAAAAAAAAATATAATAGTACTATAATAGAATATTAAAAAAATAAGTAAAAATGTATATTTTTAGAAAAATATAAATATTAAAAGAAAAAATAAATAAATATATTTAGAAAAAAAATTATAAACTATAAAAAATAATAATATTTATATATATATATAAAAAAATTATATATTTAATTATATTTATAATTATTAATTTATATATTATATATAAATAAAATATATTATTTAAAAATATCTTTCAATTTTTTTAAAAAAATTCATTCAATTAAATTATTTTAAGTCCAACAACTAATTTTAAATTCTTAATCACAATCTTCATTAAAATTAACTTCTAAAGGATATGTTGGAATTTATCTTATTGGAGGCTTTGGCATAATAATTTTTTTTTGTAAAACTTTATTCCAATCAACATCAGAAAACCATTCATGAGATTTTATTTCTTTTCCATCACCTTTATATCCTATTCTATTTTAAAGATTTTTATCTAAAAGCTTAAATAAAAATATATTTTATATATATATATATATATATATATATATACATATATATATATATATGTATCTTTTATAGTATATTTAATTACTTTTTTTATTATGTCCTAGCAATTTTTCGATATTTATGTTGGAAATGTAATTTTATTACTTTTTATTCTTTCATATAATGTATCTCGAGAAACATTTCCTTAATTAAATGGAGTGAACCCAAAAAGTAGTTCATATATAACTATTCCTAAAGAATACCAGTCTGTCATTCTATTATGGCCCATTTTTAGTACTATTTCAGGCGAAATATAAGCTGGAGTTCCTAAAAAAGACTAGTTTATTTAATCATAAACTCCTATTTTTGCCAAACCAAAATCTATTAAATGAGCATTTCCTTCTTCATCAAGCACTATATTATCTGGTTTTAAATCTCTGAAAATAATTAAGTTTTCATGCAATGCCTCTATTGCTAAAATAAGTTAAGTAGCATATTTTTTGACAGTTTCTTCTTCAAATTTCTTATATTATTTAAGCATTCTTCCTAGACTTCCACCTCCGCAATATTATTAAATTATAAATAGTTTACTTTTAGACTAAAATGAGTGATGAAATTTAACTATAAAGGGATGATTCATTTTAGCCATAGAGTTTTTTTCCTATATAGCATATTTCATTAAATTCATTTATTAGAATTTTTCTTTTGAAATGATTTTCATTGCATAAAATTTGTTATTTTATTTATCTTTAACTAATAGTACTTTTCCAAAAGATCCGGTTCCTAAAATTTTATAATAATCATAATCTTTAACACTTCTAAATTTTTTTATTTTGTTATTTTTTTTATTATTAGTATTTATATTCTCTTTCTTTAAGATATTTATGTTGTATTTTTGGAAAATCTAGTATATGCTTTCTTATAAAAACATCTTTTGTACAGATATTCCATTTAGATTTTCAATTGTGAAATCAGCATTATTTTCTAGTAAAATTTCAACAGCTTTTTCTAATTGTTTCTCACAAGCTATTATTAAGGCAGAATTATTATTTGCGTCTAAAGCATTTATATCAGCTTTATGTTTTATTAGTATTTCTATTCCTTCTATGTTTTCGGTAATACAGGCTATGTGGATTGGACGACGCTTAAATGAAGTTTCGGATTCTATATTAGCGCCGTTTTAGATTAATAATTCAGCTATTTCATTATTTTTTTCAGATATAGCAATATGAAGGGCAGTCCATTAGTCAAGGGATCTTTTTTTTTATTTTTATATATAATATCTTATTTTTTATTTTAATACTTATAATTTAAGTCTACAGGGTATTGATTTTATTATTTATTTATTAATTCTTTGGCTTTTTCTATATTTCCAGTTTCGGCTGCATCTAATAGATTAATATTACATCTAGTTACATTTTTCCTTTTTTTTTTTATTTTTTTTTGATATATGAATTTATACCAAAATTCTTTCCATGTATTTTTATTATTTTATTTTTTTAATTATATAGTTTTTGTTTAAAAATTTATTAATTATTAAACTTCTTATTCATTTCTTATATCAAATACTTTTAATGAATTTAAATCAACTATTTTATATTGACGTTCTTCTTGAGTATATTTAGATAGAATTTGTTCTTGTTATTTTTTTTTTTAATCCATTTCTTGTATTTGAATATATTATTAAAATATTTAGAGATTTTTCTCATTTTGTTCTATTTAGAGGGTTGAATCTAAATAATTTTCCTCAAAACTGTCTTTTTTTATGGAAAACTATGTTGGACTATTATTATTGTTATTATTATTATTCATTTGTCTTTGTCTTTTTATTTTTATAATTTTAATATTTTACTATTTTATATATTCATATAAAATACTATTTAATTATTAAAAATTTAAATTGTAAAAAACTATACTTTATAATAAATTATTAAATAAAAAAAATTATATTATTTTTTTAAAAAAATATATATTTGGTATTTTTTGAAGGGTTTAAAAAAAAAAATAAATGTTTTTGAGATTAAAAAATAAAAAAAGCTTATAAATATGAATTATATCTCTATTCTTTTTTTGTTGTTGTTTAATCTCTAATAATATAAGGAGAACTCATAAATAATTTCTTCCTAATAAATTCTTTAAATAAGACTAATTAATCCCAATAATAAAATATTCAATAGTAATTTATTATTAAGAACTTCTATAATAATATATTATTAACTTCCTATTTCTTCATTATCGTAAATCATTAATATCATAATTTAAAAGTACATTATCTTATTTACTTTTTTTTTTTTTTTTTTTTTTAAGCCTTTTATATAAATTATTTTCAAGTTAAAGCTTTAAAGCTCTTAATAATCAATTATATTTTTTCTTTTTTTTTTATTAAACATATGGCATATATATTTATTATTTTTAAAGTAAATAATAATTACTTATTTTGGAAAAAAAACAAAAAATTAATCATTAAACAGTTTTAAACATGATATAACTTTAAATTTAGTGCTATAAAATACATTAATAAATAGCTCCATTTATATTCATCAAATTATCTAATTTGGAGAAATCTAGTTAATAAAATACTGAAATACAAAGTAAAAAAAGTAAATATATTAATTAAATAATAAAGCATTTATATAAATAGAGGTGAAACATAATAAATATATTACTTTTTAATATTTATTTTGTTTTAAAAAAAAATCTTAATCAATAAAAAGAAAAAAGGGACGAAGAAAAAAATTAAATATGACTTATTTTTAATTAATATATACTTTATTTTAAAAAGAAAATAACTTTATTAAAAATACTCATTTATATTATCAACTTAATTATTATGAAATTATCTTCCTTTATTTTATTTTTATAAAAAAAAAAAACCTGAAATTCCTCTATTTAATAAAAAATATACTATATTAAATAAATATAAAAAGTTATTTTTAAATCCCTTAAATTAATTATTTTTCATATTTTTATATTATTAAATAATTAAATTTTACCAGTAGTATATACTGGAAAAGCCAAAATAGTCGTACTTGAAATATATTTTAAATTTAATTATCAAAGCTTTAGTTTAAGAATATTATTTTATATATTATTTGAGGATAATTTATCAATAAATATATATATATATATAAATAAAAATAGAATAAATCCCTTTTTTAAAAAATTTTACTAAAAGTTATATATTTAAATTAGTAAAATCCTTAAGGTAAAAAAGTTAAATATTATTATTTTTATAAACAAAAAAAATATCTTAAAGTAATTCGTTCATTCAGAGTTTCATTTTTTGTACGTTTTGGAATGATATTATTATATATGACATATTGTTTATTAAAAGAAAATATTGTATTACTAGAATTAGTAAATATATGCAAATTGGTATTAGAAAAAAATTTATATATAATATTTTCAAATATTATATGTCTTTTTATTTAGGTTTTAAATTATATATAATGATAAAACAAGTCTTATATACAAAAAAAACTTTTATTATTAGAAGAAGTGTTGATAATATGTACGAAATTTATTATATATTACAAAAAAGAATAATATAACAACTTTAATTATTTAGTTTAAAAATTAAAATAATGTTTCTTGAGATAAAATTGTTGATTTTGCTTTAAAATCATTTATTAATAATTTTGAAAAAATATTAATTTTTATTTTTAATTCTTTTTGTATTTTTATATTTTTATCTTAAATAAAAAAGATTATTTTAAAAAAATATAATTTATATAATATAACTAAAAATTATATATTAATAATATATATTATTTTTTAGTTTTTTTTATTTATTTATTAATTTTTTCTATTTCAATTTTTATAAAAATAAAGAATCCTATTTTTTAATTAATTAATTATGTAATAAAAATTAATTAAATATTTAATATATGTGAATAAATTTTTAATATTAATAAAAAAATAATATATAATAATTATATTATATATATATATATTAATATAAATATATTTTATTAATATTTAAATTATTTTTAAAATATATTTATTATATAATAAATATATTATTATAGTCTATTTATTAATTTTTTTTTATATATAAAATATTTTTAAAATTTTTAATACAAAAATTAGTAAAAAAAGTTATTTCTATTGATATTTTTGAAATAAAATATATATAAATATATATAATTAACAAAAATAATCAAAAAATCAATTTTATACGAAAAAAAATTAAAATATATTTTATATATAAAGTTAGTATTATTTATATATACATTTTCCATTATAAGATTATATTTTTTAATATTATTTTTATTAAATTTCAGATTATAAAAATTAAATAATATTTAATTAAAAATAAGATTATATATAAAATATTAAAAATTAGACCTATATATTTAAAAATAATTCTTATTTTTTATTATATTTTTCTTTATTTAAAATATAATTATTATATGTCTTATTTCACACTAATATATTAAATTTAATATAAATTAGTGTTTGGACTATATTTAAATAAGATGAAAAAAAATAATAATAATAATTATATTTTCTATTTAATTTAATAATATAAATATTAGTATTTATTATTTTATTTAAAATAATTAGAAGCATATTTTAATTTTAATTTTGCACATATATGATAATATATGGATTACTATTATTAAAAATTTTTTCAAAATTTAATTAACAATAGTTATTATATATATAATTTATATATATTAAAAAATAAAAAAAATTATTTAATAATGAGATTAATTTAATTTAAAAAAAAATATAGGTACTATAATTAATAAAAAAAATAGTGAATTTTGATTAAAATAAAATATATATATATATATTTAGTGTAATTTTCTTATATACTTAATTTAATTTTATTATAATTTAAGATATAATTAATTTTATCCAAAATTTTATTTAACAAAATTTTAAAATAAACTCATCAAAATATATTTAAAATAAGTTTATACAAGGGTATTTAATAAAATCAGAATTATTATTTTATATTTTTATATTCATTTTAGTTTTATTAATAAAAATAAGTATAATAATACTAATATTTTATTTATATTTTAAATTAAATTTTTATAAAAAAAAAAAAAAATTACCTATGATAAAAGTAAATTAACTTTTTTTTAATTTTATATTAATTTATAAATGATACAAAATTAATAAAAAATTATAAAAATATCTAATATAAACATAAAATAAATAATAAACAAGATAATATATATAAAAAAATATATATATATTTATTTATAAATAAATAAAAATATGACAAATTAAAAAATATTTTATATTGTTTATTTAGTATTTTATTTTTTAATTTTATTTTTTATTTATATTTAGTATTTTGAAGATTTAATTTTATATGTAAGATAGAATTTTTATATTATTTTATCAAAAAATACTACATTAATAAAAAATATATTTTAAAACTAATTATTTAGTAATTAATACATGTATTTAGTAATTAATTTATGTATTAACCAAAAAAATTAAATATTATTTTTTAATTAAATATATTAATTATAAATGTTAATTAAAATAAAGATTATATAATTTTTAAATTTGTAGATTTATATATATAGTCATAAATTAATAGTGCAAATTTATAATATAAAAAAAATCAATTTTTAAAAAATAATGGATTGCAATATATTTGAAGGTTGTTTCTATTTTTAATTTTTTTATAAAATCTTATTTATAATTGTTATTTTTTACAACTTTCAAAACATATATTTTTTTTAGCACAATCATATAATAAAGTTAAAATTATTTATATAGATATGATTTGTAAATTAAAGCATAAAAAATTAATAATTTTATACTTTATATTTGTGATTTTTTAATATGTTTTAAAAATAATGTATTGAATTATTTTATAACACAAATTTAAAATAAAATGAAGTCAGTCATTTACTTAGTTTATTTTGAATTTAATTTTAATTAAGTTTTAATAATTTTAATTAATATTATATTTTTATATTTATTTTTTTGAATATTATACTAAACATCTAATATCATTAAAATTTTAATTTTATAAAGTAATTTTATATAGAAATTATATCAAAGTATTAAATATAAATAATTATTTTTTATATTATAATTGTAAAATTTATTAAGAAAATACATTAAATAGAAAAAAAAAATGACTTAAGAATAGGAAACAAAGGATATTAAAAAAGAAAAATTAAAACAAAGAATTGTTAAATAATGGAGTTTCGAGGAAGACTAAATTTTAATAAAATACACTAAAAAGTTAAATAGAAAATGGAATAAAATTGCTTAATTTGTTCCTGGAAGAAATCCAAACTAATGCTTCTGTAGATGGAGAAAAATGCATTCCTATAAACCAAAAAGTCTTTGGAGCAAGAAAGAAGACTAATAAATAAATAAATTAGTAGAAATTTATGGAAAAAATTGGAATTTAATATAAAAATATATTCC